GAAAGGGGGGAAAAAAGAAAGGGGGAGGGGGAGAAAGGTGGGGGGGAAGAAAGGAATCTCTTCCTAAAGCTCAGGAGCCTTGTCTGAAACACCAGTCCCTGGAAATCCTGGCATTTCCATAATCACACAGGACAATGCCAAGAATGGATATTTAAAGGGGGAAAAAAAGAAGGTAAAATACACCTGGTGAGAAAAATTCCAGTCTGTGGATATTTATGTTAATATGTGGACTAGAAATGTTCCAAAGGAGACACACAAGACGTGGCAATTCCATGGCAGGTTTTCCCAGGAAAACAGAGCTGCAAGAGCCTGAAAGCTCAGCCTGCCCTGCCCCAAATCAGCATCAACACTTGGATTATCCTACAGATACTTCCCAAGCTTTTCAGAACATCCAATGATCACCATTCCAGAATTTTCCTTACCTTGAAGGAGTTTGGATTTTAACAGGAACTGGAAAAGCCCCTTTCCCCTCTGACCAACAAGGCAGGAATAATTCCCTGCCTCCTTCCCTGAAGATCCTTTGAAAACCAAGGATCTGACGAGAACGACACAACAAAAACTCCCGTTGCCCAGAGGATATTCCACTGTCCACTGAGCTCCTTCCATGGAGGAGTTTCCAAGGCATAATCAGCACCTGCATAAATATTTTGGGAAAAGAGCTCCTCAAGCCAATCAAGGACCAGAATCCGCAGGAACTTTCTCACAATAACTCAAATTTTCCCAAAACATCTGTGTCCTCCCGACCTCCTGAGGAACATCTTCAGCTCTCTGTCACCTCCCCACAACCCAAACAGCTCCTCCCTCGAGATTCCAACTCCTATTTGGGGAAAATAATTTAAAAAAATACCCAAAAAACCTCACAAAAACATGTGAAAAAGCATTTCCCCCCTCCCTGAGCTGGTTTGTACCTTGGCCTGGATGGATTTCTTGGCCCTCAGGAGCAGCTCTGCTTTGATTTCCTCGATTCTTTGCTGGGTCTCCTCATCCCAGTCTGGCACAGATTCCTGGGATCTGCTGGCCAGTTTCACCTTCACCCAGGCTGTCAAAAAAAA